TGTGTGTGTGTGTGTGTGTGTGTGTGTGTGAACTGCAAACCCTTTGGCTTTGCTAAACATACTTTTATGATTTCAGTTAAGGGACAGTCCATCGGTTTAGGTAATAATGGAGCACATTTGACACCAGCCATCCAGCTGTAGTCTTGTAGTCTTGAGTGGCAGTGCTGCAAATTGAATTCAGGTGTTATAGGAGCAGAACACATCACTGGCCAGAGAAGACACAAAAGCCTCCATAAGTGGATATAACCATGTATCTGTCTTTGTCACAAATGCACACGCACACACTACACTTGCCATGTACAAACCTCTGTTTACTAAGTCATCAGCTATTTGCTCTATTCTAGCACCACCTATTGATTCTACTTCAGCTGTTCAGCACATGAAGTGCTGTAGAAGCGACACTATTGCATGGTTCATATTTCGTCAACAACCGAGCTGAAGCATAAACCTTTTCCTCTCTCATGCCCATCACTTTTCTTGGAATTTCACTGAGTTCATTCTCAAATCACATGCATGCAAATGCTCTGAGCTTTTGTTATGCTAAAACTACTGATCCAGCCACCTGGACTTATAAACAGCTTAATGGGGTGGAGATAACTGAAACAGATGACTGCAAAATTAAATTTTACAACAGCAGATCAACAACATTTGCCTGAATAAAGTTCATATCAGACTCATACAGAGAGCTGAGTGTGGAGCAACATGAAAAATGGGAAGAGCTGCAGCTGTGCAGCACATATCGTGACACTTAACTTTAATCACATCACACAACCCGTCCAGCTTTGCCAATGGTTCACCAAAGTCAACTTTAGTACCTCAAATGCCTTAATCATTTTGCACAGAGCCAGCCATGTGCTGAAAAATGAAACCCCAGCAGCATTACACACAAGTTACACTTGTGTCATTAAAAGGTTAAACCACACCCTTGGATCGACTTTGATGGGAAGTCTAAATTGTAATGGGTGACACTTCATCCCAATTATGCAGTTTCTCTGAGCATCACCTGATTAAGTAGTTAATTGCATGACAGCAAAATTGTCCACAACTTCCAACTGGTTGAAGCACGGGGTCACAGGGGCGGCAGCGGAGGAGGGAGATTCATCCTAACAGCTCTGGACTAGAATAATTTTAACTCACTCTGAGCCCTAACTGAGTGTTTGGCTGTTCACAATCAAGTCTATTGATGCTCAGATGGGGAGACAAGGTGACTGAATTGCATTTGGTTAGCATTAGGTTGATTAACATTAATAAGTACCAACAGGTGAGAGAGAAAGCACAGCTACTCGTTGTTTTCCCCTCAAAAGCAGAAAAACTGAAAAATGTGCACAGTCTCCGTGCATCCATCCGTTTACGTTTAGGTGTAAATCTTTACAAACCTGTAGCCAAAAAAAAAAGTTTAAGATCACTAAAATAAAGCACTGAATCCACAGTCCTTCCAAAGGCCATCCTTGCGTTTTCATCCTTTCATGCACAGCACCTCGCTCTTGCTTCCAGACCTTTTACTTCAGTCCCTTCAAACGGGGGCGCACAAACAAGCAAATTTGGCGCTTGCTTGCCTGCCTGTCTGTCTCCAACCACACAGACAGGACAGATAGACGGGACAGACAGGCAGCGTGCGGAATGATGAATAAAGAACTTATCTCAGTTGCTCAGAAAGAAGCCAGACACATTTCCAACCCAGCCCAATTCACTGCAGGGCACCACATATCTCAGCCTGCCTGTCTGCACGTATCTCTTCACTGCTGTCTCTCTCATTCGGGCCGTCTCTCTCTCTCTCTCTTTGACAGCCTGACACTGTGTTTGTTGCTATTCTTGTCTTCCTCTGTACTGCGCAGTGTGCGTGTGTGTGCGTGTGTGTGTCATAGTTGTATATGCTGAGAAACTCACACATCAGCTCATTGAAGCCACTCAGCATCGCCTCTAATAAAAACCCACGCTTTTTCTTCAATCACGGTTACGAAAACAGAAAGGAATCCCCAGAAGAAGACTCTCAATATAACTGCAGACATCCTCACACAGCCACTTGAGTTTCTGCGCTTTTGCTGCCACTGTTGGAAGCGTTCAGTAGCGACTTCGACTTCATTTTTGAACGGGACTTGTGGCCTGTTGGGTCCGTGAAGGAATGCCTATTTTGCCCCCTTCATGAATGTGCTAATATAATCAATATGAAGGGAAATGTTTTTGGGGTTTTTTAGTAGCGTGTAGCATTTTCACAGGAGGACAGATGAGAAGAAGGAAGCCTTGGGTGGAATTGCTTCATGAAAATATAACTCACAGTCAGCAGTCCTGTCTGAAAGTAAAAATATAGACACTGTGGTCTCCTGGTGCGGTTAATGCACCAAGTGTTTCTTATTTCCTCTTCGGATAAGTGTTACTTTTTAATGCTCGTTACAGTGTATATTCACAAGTGGGTTCATTGTGCTGCTGTGGGGAACGTACCAGATGCCTCACCATTTTGGCTCAGTTAATTTCTCTGAAGAGAAGCGGGATCCTGTATGGATACACGGCGGTGTCGCGTGAGTGTGGATGTATAAAAGTGCGTGTCTGACGTAAAAAAATCCGTCTGCAAAACACTTCGTCACATATATCTGGCTGCAAATAGGAAGACACGTCGGGAGGAGCTGCCTTATGTACGCAGTTTGTAGTTAAGCAATGAAAATCCATTTACATATTTCCAATGAGTCACCAGAGAGCGTACAATCTGAAGAAGTTTGTTGTGGCATATTAATTTAGGATTTAAGCTGGGGAAGCCCAGGCTTTTCTTCATGGGAAATGCATGAAATCCTTACAAGAGGCTATCATAGCTGATAAAGACTCTTTTCTCTCTTTTATTGAATTTTTCAACCGTTTAATAGAGAAAGGAGCAAGTGCGCAAAACATTTTGCAATATTTTTTATTTATTCACTCATTAAAATTATTCTCATCTAATCTTTTTATTTATTTATTTATTACTACTATTATTATTATTAAGATGTAAACATTTCCCCCACAGCCAATATGCTAAAAATGCATTTATAACATTAACCTTAGGAGCACGCAATGCAAATCCAGTTCATATGACATAAACCGCCAAGCAAAGATTCCTCATCAGTACAATTAAAATGGGGCTTAAATTAGTCCCCAAACCCCGCGGGTAAACTGAGTGACTAAACCCAAGCACCATCCTCTATTATCCTCACCAACCTTTGCGCTTTTTTTGGAGAACAAGTTGAGAAAAACAAAAAAGTTATAGAAGAAAAAAATCTGTCCGTGACTTACCTCACTTCAACTGACTTGAGGCTGCAGCCCGAGTGACACAATAAGATGCTGAGGAGAATCACAAACGTCTTTCTCAGAGAAGTCCTTCCACCGAGAATGACTCCCAGCTTTTTGCGCTCCTATTTAACGCAGCGCCAATAAAAACTTTTTTTTTCAGATCCACGGATATAAAAGCCATTATAAAATCAATCAAATGCTTCTACAGCTTTCCCCACATGTCTACCTTTTAATTATGAGAAGAATTAATGATCTGCGGTGCGCGCGGGAGAGGAGTGTGGAGCAGGACGCCGGTCTGATGCGGTGACAGTTGACTGCCCGGTAATCCAAGTGCGTCTAACAGCCTCCCGCTTACGCGGACGAGCGTGTGGTGGGAGCTCCTCCTCGCCTGCTTACCTCCGTCTCTGCGTTAAAGACACAGGAGAAGCCTCTGCACAGCGTGTGTGCGCCGGGCTCGGACACTCCTCTGGACACTCAAATCGAAAGAAACAGACACTATGAAGAAAAATGATGGCGATATGCCAGAACGCGTCCAGTCTGTGGCAGTTGCAGTTGAAACGCCTTGTTGGAGTTATAGCATTTTCTCTGCTCCCCCTTTTAACTCTGTAATCTAACCTCATAAAGACAGTATTGAGCTGTCAATATACTTTTTTCTGTCACAAATCTCTTATAATAGGTACTCGTGGCATGATATGTGACCAACCATCATGCCATTTGTGACAGATCGTGTAATATACAATGAAGGGGGATACATCGTTTCATATATCTACTTAGGAGCCCTTCCAGACACGTCATCGGGAATACATTCATGCTTTAAATTTCGATTTTGTCTCATTTACATCCTTTTTTAAACTAAAATGTGTAATTCTTTTTTTATACATGCTATTCATTATGTTAAGCTTTGCTGCTGATTTCACCGGAAAATCTATTAAAAGGGTACATTAGGGGCACTGGACCATAGAGGTATCTTTTTACAGACAGATATGAATAAAAAAACAAGACAACCCAAAACTTTTTTATGTTTCCAATGTGCAGTAAGTCACACAATCAAAAAAGTAGCATTTGTCACTGATGCGAACAGGTGGGGAAAGGTTATTTACGTCAACACAACCAATTCAGTTCAATTCAGTTCACTTTAATTGGATTTATATAGCGCCAAATCCAGGCAACAGTCAACTCAGGGCGCTTTGTATTGTAAGGTAAAGATCCTACAATAGGGACAAAAGGATAAATCGTGCCTGTGTGCCTGCCGAGGTTGCGTGGATGATAAGAAAAGTCGATCTAGAGATGGATATTGAAAGTAGTGCAGAATACCAAGAAGCATTATAGCATCATTTATTTATTACCTGGTTCCTGAAACATAATAAGTTTCACTTTAAATAGATACCAAGGGCAAAATTGGTGCATATAGATTCACCAGAAAGCAGGAAACTAAGTGTTTGGTGATTCCTGTAGGACTACCAGACCTCCCCCAATGTTCAAACAAAACCCAAGCCCACGCTCTGCACGCATCTCTTTACTACACGCACAATAGTACAGCAGTAATGAGAATACTACATTAGAGCAAGAGAGAGAGTAAAGACTAGTAAAGTATTAAAGAGACTGAATAGGTGACCTCTAAAAAAGGATCTTTGTTGTTCACTCAGACTTGGAATCTGTGGTGAACCCTTCAAAATAATGTCATCACAATCCAGGCAGGATGGAAACGCCACCACACAACTTACTGTTAACAGTGTGATCATCTTTAATGACAGAGAAGGCTTCCATTCTGCAGTCACCGAGATCACGGTAATAACAATCAGCATGGGAATTAGAATACACTCTTCACGTCAAGCTGATTTTCCCCAGGACGGCTGATGAGTTATTGGTGGATTGAGTCCATTATCCGACTGCCATGTATGTATTCTATTTATCCCGTCTGTTATTCATCAGGGTTTTTTTTGTTTTGTTGTATTTTTAAAGGAATATATCTGAGGCAAATTAAAAAAAGAAAATTCAAATCACTGTGAGCATAAAGTACTCACCTAGCAAATGATTTCCCTATTTAAGACACAGTGTTTGGTGTTTGGTAGCCTGGCTTGGCTTTTAAATCACCACCGGTGTATAAAGCAGAGAAACACCTGTGGAACCAGCATAACGAAAGTGCTTGAAAAAACCAGTGTCTTCTCATTTTCGTTTTGTTGAACCACAACTTTCTCCTTGCACTTAATTACAAGCACAAACAGATGTTTGCGTGCAATTGCTGTCATCGCAGATTTGACATTCATCTCTCTTCATCTCGCCAACATGCACACAGACAACCGCAAACAGTAAACGGTGATGAACATGCAGCTGCATATTTATAACACATTACGACAGTGTCAGACATGATCAGCCTGTCATCGCTAAAGCCATGCAATCTGCAAGTGAGCGGCGCTGCCTTCAAACCAGCAGTAATGGCAGAACATCCACTCGGGAGAAAGAGAGGAGTGGACAAACACAATCTACTTGGGAATGTTTGTAATCCTCCAACGCTGGAAAAAAAAACACGTTGCATTGTCAGCTACATTTTTACATGCACATATGCACACCTGCATACATCAGATTAACTTTAAATCATCCTAAATGGGGAAAAAAACACAAAGGAAAATCTCTAAATAGAAAAAGAAAGAAGGCTATTGTTTTTTTCTTCATCTCTCTATTTCAAATGACTGTCTCCTCTGGCCACCCCTAGATAAATGTCATTCCATATGTACAACGCCATAGTTATACAAGAAATCCCTCCTGGCAGAATACCCTCGTTCCCTGGTAGCATTTGAAGTCGTGCTGGCTGATGGTGCTGCGGCTAGAGGACACTTCCATGAAAAAGCAAGCCCTCTTCAGAGAATCCCTCATTATGGTCAGCTGTGGTGATGATGGACGCTGGAGGACGGATGATGAAAACGAAGCTGGAGTGAAGCCCGTTTCATGGAATCCACTGTGATGTAAACCTAGAGGATAATGGTGCCACACCAAAGAACATACAAGTTTGGACGCCAGTGTTGGCGACATCTGTGTGCTGCATTTAACGTGACGCCACCGCATCCCATCCCACCATGAACAAATGCAATAATTTTTTGTCTTCGACGCATTGGAAACTGAATGTTCATCAGCGTTGCAAGTTAAAGACTGCAAGGAATAATTACACACAATAAAAGAAAAGTAGATGCGTGTGTTAGAGTCCCTTTCTTTCATATACAGTTAAGTGTAAAGGACAGTACACGCCACGATTCAATCGTTTTTAGAACCTACTTTAGCAGCAATAACATAAAGTGATTCTTTTCTGTAGGATTTCATCAGTCTCACATCATTGTGGAGGAAATCTGTCCCGCTTGTCTTTACAGTGTTGCTTGATTTATGCACAGCTATCTTAAGGTCTTGCCTCAGCATTTCAGTTGGGTTGAGGTCTGGACTTTGATTGGGCCATTTTTTTTCAGTTGTTTTGCTGCTGTGCTTGGGATCATTGTCCTGTTGCATGACCCAGTTTCAAACAAACTTTAGTTGTCACGCAGATGGCCTCACACTGAATTTAGTGGGATCTTGACTCCCGGGAAGACTGTAGTGCTTGTGCTTTTACAGAGGGGCTCACTTATTGATGATCATGTAATCAACTGGATTGATTAGTGGCACCTGGCAAGGGTAAGGGTGTACTTAGTTTTTCACTGGAATTAATAAAGAAATAAAGGCAACTTTCAGGTACTGCAGGTAGCTCTGCATATTCCTGATATGGCTGATTTGTATACCAGATGCCCTTTGTGACCGCCCTATGTACAGGACTACACTATGGAGACACTTTATTAAATCTATAAATATGTTGGTTTTAATCCAGCTTCCAGCTAGCTGTGAATCACAAAATAAAATATCAATAAAATTATACACTACCAAAGCCTCTTCAAGGGTTGTTTCTTGATGACATAATGACTTTTGTGTCTATCTGTGCTTAAACCTAAGATGACCCTGAATAAATACAGTCATTATTTGTTTTTACATAAGATTTTAATCAAATCAATATTCCTATGTGACAGTCCAGGTTCACACTAAAGAAGCTTGTCTGCTGTGAGAGCAGGATACTGTTTTCTGCACACTAAATTCCCAGCACCAAACAGTAAGCAGCATTCTTGTGAGCATACTTGGGCACTAAGCAACTAAAAGCAAAATATATCACTCATCCACCTGACATTGCTGGCAAAAAGCTAAAACATTAAGACAACGGATATCAGACTTCCATTCATGATGTGTTCTCTTTTTTAAAGCTTCATTTAATTTAATGTATTCATTTGATCTACCAAATTCACATAGTGGTTTCGGATGTTTAGAGGTTGAGCATTTTTTCCTGCATCTGAATGGTTTTATGCAGGTGTTACTTGGTGCACGTAGGGTGACAAATATCTCAACATTCACATCAATGTGTGAGTACTGCATTAAGTAGAAAAATCCTGCACCTATCCCTCAGTACCACCTTTGCCACAGGTTCAGCATCAAGGACAGACTTTCATTCGCTGTGCTCTCCCCATAGGCTGCGCAATGATGTCTTTTCCCTGAGTGCTAACTATACTTTCAGAATGTAATCATTGTATTTAAATCACAAAACTAGCTGGTGAGACCCGGCGCAACCTTTTTTTTTTTTTTTTTTTTTTACAGTTTACTTCATAAGACTACTCGAGTTACACTACTCATCTTTTGAGAAAAGCACCATTTTTTGTGCACTAATAATATATTTTCATTACCAAGGACAAGGCTTTAATATTCATCTTAATGCAAGAAGTCAGAGTTTTAGAGTTACCTTTATGGCAATAAGATAGAGAAATAAGATGCCTGCAATCTGGTCTTTAAGCCTGACATCATTAGCCATTTCCGGGTCCAAACTCTGCTTCAGGTCTCAAAGTCAAACGAACACTGCGGCATCACTGAGAGTTAAAAACTCTCTAAATTCTTTCATCTTTAATAAAATGATCAGTGTGACTGTTCTACCAGGTGTAACAATTAAGTTTGACATCCAGGCATCCATGATGGTTTACCGGAGTTAGAAGTTAGCAGGGAGTTAGCTCGCTAGTTTCCACCTAAACATAACATACCATTTACAAAACCATTTCTGAAAGAAAAAATGTACAGCTCTGCTATCACTGCTATTTATCACATAAATGAAGACAGAAAACTAAACAACAGTGACTTTTGTAGGGTTACTGAAGTCGCACTAGCTGGTATATAATGATTTGCTATGTGCTCACTAGCGACACAGCTATGTTAGCATAATATAAATGTAGTGAAGCTGGAGGATGAACACTGATTTTTTTCCACTCGATAAAAGTTAATGCAAGGGTTCCCAATGTTTAGGGACAAATGCAATCGCATGGCAGGTAAACTAAATGGTAAACTTACCAGCATGGGCTGGGCTGTTGTTAAAAACTGAGCTTTTGGTAATAAAAACCAAGGGAGGCAACATTGATGACTGACTTTTTTTAGGGGCTTGTTCAGGTTAAATAGAACAAGATACAAAGCATTAACAGATACACAACAACCTTAATAAACGCAGAGTTTGGACCCGGAA